GTAGTTTCAATTTTTTTCTTCAAAATTCTCACAAACCTGGAACTACTGTACACCTGAATCAAGACTAGTACTATAATATTGTCAACATGTTACAAATAAAATGAGATGGACCATACATAACACTCGTCATAATAAAATTATATCCCACTCATTGGGGATTGCTTTTCAAACCAAGGGATAGTAGTCTGTATTCCATACACCATGATCTTTCCGATGTAGAAACCAGACTTCCTTCATTTCCAATCCTCATAGTTTCAAGAGTACAACAATATCATTATTTGGAGAATTAGTCAATATTAGTAACAGAAGCAACATCACATCACAAAGAACCAGAGAGAGAAGTAGACAGAAAGCCTTGATTGCCAGTGTCTGGAACAGACAAGGCATCTAGCAAGCAAGCAAGTCGGAATTAAACAAATAAGGAGAAGAAACTCCCAAAAGAGCAAGCTACATGTATATTGGGGGGGGGGGGGGAGCCGACCCAAGGCTTATATTCCACATCAAACTATTCTCAACTACCATCTCCAATGTTTCTACCAGTAACTATCTCCCACTCAATGGTATCCATGACATAATAAAACATAAACCTAGAGAACAATGGTATGTTATTATTTGGAGGAGAAAGACAATAGGCCATTGTTGTAATGTAATCAAATTTAATGCATAAGTCTTTGTTAAGAGCCTCATTCCACATTTTTTCATTCACCTGTTATAAATAAATGTAAATGTATTACAGTCAGAATGCAAATTACATACATTAGTTGTTGCTAGGTAGGACAAACATTATGGCTTGCCCTACCTAACAACACGTAATGCATATACAGGTAAATAAAACAATTTGTAACAAAGCTCTTAACAAAGAACAATTACGCATCAAATTTGATTACATTACAAAAATGGCCTATTCAGGATTCATATTCCACCATAAACTTTTCCAACTCCTCTTTCGCATGCAACTACCAGTACTTCTCACCCACTCAATCCATCATATCCATTCACATATTCATGAGGCAGACATGGCATTCAAATGGCAGAGGTCTCGGTGTCATGGAAACAAGGCTATGAACACCACGTAGCAGAAGATGAGGGAGGGATGTTTAAAGGAGGCAAACTCTTCTACCAACACAGATACATACCACTTCATGCTGAGTTAAAGGGAGTGTAGCTTGGCAAATACTGGTTTTAAAACGCCATCTACGTCTTCTTTTGGACAACTGCAGGTAAACGAATGGACCTGATTAGCGGTAGTCAGCGACTTAGTCTCTACATGGTCAGCGTTCGCAAAACAGACCAAAGTTCTCCTCGCACTTCTGTTTCGCGTATGTTGCACGTGCGTGATTGCTGCAGTCGCGTCGTCCGTGTACACGATTGGCCCCCCGAGTCAGGCCACGGGAAAGACATGTAGTCTCGTCAGTCTAAACTCATGAGAAGGTTGAGCTCTTGTTATGCGATGTGCATCAATCAATTGAGAAAGGTAGATTATAAAGGCATAAAATTGTGTATCCCGAGGTTTTGAAATCTTGAACATACAAAATGTCCATTCTTGCTTGAAAACACCTAACAGTGAACAGCACTGAACACAGAAAGGGGGGGGGGGGGGGAAATGGGACTACACATGCATTTTGCATGAATGCTTATCCAAAATCGTAAGCTCTTTGTTATCATATTTCAAATAAAAGGGCATTTTGGGGGAAACCCCTTTTTTATGGGGAAGTTGTGACATTCTTCGCAAACTAACACAAAGAGTGAGAAGACTCACCCAATACATGTATTTTTCAACTTTACCAAAACTAAACCTTCTTTAATCTCCATCCTACCTTTTGTAATGACTTTCATAATCCCACTCAATAATATTCATAGCTGTTTACTACGCTGCTTACAAAGAAAAATAATGCCACGCATATTTAGAACTGAAGGTCTACTTAGAATTGGAATTTTATTTGTCCAATTTCATGTTGAGAGCCAGGCGGGCATTGATGCCATGTTAGAAGTACATGGGTTAACATCCTTCTGGCTCTCAATGGTGATTTAACCCATTGCTTACTGAAACTAGGTTGTCCCTGTGTTAAGCTTATATGACTTAGATAATCAAGTAGTTAGTGGGATAATAGATCTATGTAAATACCATGAGGGAGAAGAAGAAAACAATAAACAAAAATACCTTAAAGGGAAAGTCCACCCCCAAAATAAGTTTGTTTCGATAGAGGCAGAATAATAAGAAAATCAGCTGAGTGAAAGTTTGAGCAAATTCTGAATGAAAATAAGAAAGTTATGAATTATTGAAGTTGTGATCAATCAAATACAAATTGGCAACTCTGTGACTTATTATACAAGCTCTCCTTCATTTGCTTGTGCATAATATTCCATAAAATCATGTTTTCTTCGTTATTGATGACGGAATATATATTTGTTCCTTGCAGGGGGAGTATAGAAACATATTTGCAATTATTATATTTAGGGTGCATGTATGGTTGAAATTTTTCTTGAGGGAAAATGAAAATTTTAGATTTTTTTAGTACTGAGCAAATGGAAGTTGAGCTCGCATGATACGTCATAGAGTTGCCAATTTGTGTTTGATTGATCACAACTTCAAAACTCCTAACTTCCTTATTTTTAATCGGAATTTGCTCAAACTTTCACTGACTTGTTTCTCTCATTTTTCTACTCCTATTAAAACTAACTTAATTTCAGGGTGGACTTCCCCTTTAAGCAAGTGGGCAGTGAGAGCATGGCTTAACATTCTTAATTTATCTTGTTTGATTGGAGTGAATTGTAATTGGGAAGGGAAAAAAAAAGGAGGTCAACATACAAACAAGTTGTAAACAACTGATGATCCAACACAAAAATAAATTTGCATGTGTTGACAACATACATCTTGAAAGAAATTGTCTTTACCCTTGTTTTGTCTTGTAAAAATTTGATAAGGTACTCTCTTAAAAAAAAAGAGTGAATTTTCACTCTATTTTCACTTTCTTGGGAGTGACGTCCGTGATCACTTGTTTAGGAGTGAAAATCGATTGATTTTAGAGTGCTCTCTAAGAAGAAAAGAGTGAATGTTCACTCTATTTTCACTACATTTTCACTCTCCAGAGGAGTGACGTCCGTGATCACTCAATTTTTTTTACAGAGTACATTTGCCAACTGAGACAATATGTAACAAGTCTCTCTCTCTCACTCTCTCTCTTTAAGATCAAACACAAAACATATATTTATACTCATAATAAAACAATTAATTTGTAAAGCATCTTCAAAGAAATTGGCTTTACCCTTGTTTCGTCTTTAAAACAAAATCTGATAAGGAATCTTTACCAACTGAGGCAATACATAACAAGCCCCTTCCTAACAAACAGAAAACTACCCCCCCCCCCTTAAAAAAAAGTATTGAAAATTTGTTTTAAAAAACAAAACATGTACATGTTGATGGCTACTTGAAATCAGAATTGTAATGAAGCAGTTTGATTGGAATTATATGTACATGAGCGTGCAATCAAGTGAATGATGCAAGATGTAGAAATTACATCCTTTTGTGGCTAATGTTCATAGTAATGACGTGGCATGACTCACACTAAACCCATGTTGGATTGGGAAAGTACATGAAGTTCGATAAGGAGACAATTTTAAAAAGATGCTGAATTTAAAAGAGTTGAAGAGACGAGGGAAGAAAGTAAAAGAAGTTCATGACAAAAGAGCTAATTTTAAGATGATGCTGAAAGAGAAAGAGATAAAGAGGAGAGAGTATAAGATATTCGATAAAGGCACAATTTGGCTGAAAATGGAGAGGGGGAGGAAGTAAAAGAAAAATAAAGAGAGGAAGGAGGGAGTACAAGAAATTGATAGAGCGACAATCAAAAGAAGATACTGAAAATGAAACAGAAGAAGAAAGAGAAGGGAGAAAGTAAACAATTTTAATAATGAGAGAATTTTAAGATGATGATGAAAATGAAGGAGTTAAAGAGAGGAGAGGAGAGAGAGTACAAATTTGATCAAGAGACAAAACAAATCAAAAGGAGATGCTGAAAATGAAAGGTATCTTGATAAGGAGAGAAGAGAAGTGGGAAAAATACAACAGAGACTGAGAAGTAGTCCCCACATACCAGGAGTACAGGATGTACTTATGTCACGTCCAACATTTGCATGTCAAATAAAACTATACAATTCAAAAGTTCAAACACAATAATTGAATGTCACCAACTAGAGGTGGTTATTGAAATGAAGATATGACGAGGATAAATTTGATGTGAAAGGGCTGGCCCAAGGTATTTGTTCATTTCATATTCATACATAAACAAGTGTAAATTAATAATGAAAATTGTATGTACCATTTTCCTTGATATTTGTGATCTAAGCTCTATTTAGGGTATCAAATTAATTCATACAGGTACATGTACATAGGCACATCTGCTTTAATGACCACCTGTCTACAAAGACCACATTTTTTCCCATTTCCCTTGAAAATGGTTTCTCATTGAAACATGAGCTAAAGAAACCTGTCTACAAAGACCACTTTCCCTTGGGCAGTCGCTATAGATAGGTTTGACTATATATAAAAATATTTGATTTTAAGATTGACAACATTTTTATAATACTGAAGAATAATATACCTTGAACCTGTCCTAAATGAGACAAGAAAATTGGTCTTTATAGGCAGGTGGCCAGCACAGGTTCCTCTTGTACTCTGTTTCAATGAGAAACACTAGACAAGGGAAACAATGATTTTGGATTTTATAGACGGGTGGTCTTTCTATACAGGTGGTTCGGTAAAGCAGGGTTCACTGTAGTTATCATATCATGAACGTCTAGTATTCTTTAAAGCAGAAAGAAGAAATAGAAAAGATATCACTCTGGAATTTGTTTAATTGGGGAGGGGTGGAAAACAGAATGGGTGTGTCAGAGATGTATCAAATGACGTAATTTATTTAATTTAACCGAGTAAGTTCCACCTGTCTGAATTAACAAATGTAATTAGGAGAACCAATCAGGCAGATAAATACATGGCTAACCTTTGAAAGACCATAATAATAGCCAGCATGGCCTGGTCCACATCTTGGTAATCAAAGGCGCTTCCATCGGGCGAGAAAGCTGCCACGCCGACATCGTTCTTGGTGAGGAAGTCCTTTCCTACGTCTAAGATTGGCTTCATCTTCCGACAATAAAACCACGGCAGAAAGAACTCTCTCGAAATCAAACAACGCTGCAAAAAATGGTCCGTGTCTGCGATCGTCGTCGCCGTTAAATCCTCCTCCTTTCCCAAAAGTCACAGATTTCACACTGATTCAATGCCTCATGGCCGGGCGTATTTGTTCCTCACGTCCAGACGGAATGTTTGAGATGGAAACAGTTTGGATCCTGATAGGTATTAGGACATTTGGATATGAATATTTGACAGTAATGAGTTGTACAAAGGTATATCCCGCACTTGTGACAGACAATATCGATTCTGTGCTGGCTGGTCTCGGGATGGGTTGGGATGGATGCACGAGGAGTGTCGATGGTGATCATCACAATGGCGGTGGCTGAACATCCATCTCCTCTCTCACCCTCTCTCTCTCTCTCATCCTCTCTTTCCTCACCACCGCTCTCGCACTCTCCTAGCCATACTCCTCCCTGTCCGTCTCCCTGCTGCTCTCTCTGGTGCTCTCTCTGCTGCTCTCTCTCCGTTCCAATCTTGGTGAAACCTGTGCATCAGCCTCATAGACATGTTAATCAGGGAAATGACGTAGGTAACGCTCTGCACGGGAACCAATGTTTTATCGGTAAAGCCCTTTTATTCAAGGATGAGAACAACCAGCTAATTTCACATTCATGTCCATGAACATGATCGAGCCAAACCAGGCGCCGTCAAACCTGGATGTGATCGAAAAGCTCCATATTCAGGGATGACAATGAGCAAAGTCAGACAATAGACTCCGTACCCCCCCCCCCCCCCCCCCCCCGCCTTTCATTTTGCTACCCTCCCCCTTGACTTCCCTCCAAATCCATCAGCCTGTTTTGACAGTCTATATAAAGTCTGACAAAAAGAAACTAAAGCCCTAAATTGTATGGAAGACATCAAAACAAGCAGAAAGTCACCAAAGGAATAAAGGTAAGAACATCAAAATACGCCCCTCTGCTCTTTTGTCTCCTCAGAATGGCCCTTTATTACTTCCTCACTTTTTGACTTTTTGTGCCCTTTATGACTATGCTATCAAGGAAAATGATGGATAAATAATGCCTCCGGCTACTTTGTAGCACAGGCATAAAAATAGATTGCAGCAATGATCATTTATAATGTACATGAACAAAGGAAACGCCAACCTAATGGAAAAATATCTCCCAAAATCCTAAAGGCAGTACAGATTTACATCTCTTCAAAATCTATTTTCAATCATATCTACCTATCTTTTCCAACAGATTTTATGAATATTCATTTTTCTTTAAAGATAATAACTCAGCTTTTGAAAATACATCTGAAAAATCACTACAAAGGTGATGGGGGCATATTATATGGGTAACATTGTAAGGGTGATGACCTTACAACAATACTGTGCCACTTCTTAGAAAATGCTGAGCTGGTTTTTTCATGTGTTATGAATCGATTTTAGGGATTATTCATACTGATATATGAATCAAATTTCAAAACGCTAAAAGAATGTTTTTCACCTTACTAGATGTTTAATCAGCATTTTTCTTAAAACTTTGAGGGATACCGATATTAAGACAGCTCACTTTCTTTCAAGACTAAGTAAAACAAACTTTAAACAGTAATGTCAATACAGATTAAAAAACTAAGCAGTCAATGTTTTCCTCATCAAAATACTTTGACATACTGAAGGCATGCACATGACTAGAGCTAACTAACCAATTATGAAACTAAGTGACCATGATATTTTCCTTGATAATTAATCCCTGTACATTGTACCTCGACCACAATATTAGCAATAATTTCCTTTGTATTTTAATCAATTCCTCTACGAACAATTACCTCAAGAGGAAATACCCACTGTAGATGCATGTGCTTAAATTTGACCTTCGCATGATCACGCACTACAGAGCAGTGGCCTTGAATGCAAGCAATCGATGCAGCAACATTCACGCAGCAACGAATGTTCTAGGAACTTGCTTCCGCCCTCCCTCCTATATCACACGCAAAGAGGCACATCAACAGGTGCACAGGGATCATGCATAATGTTTCATGGGGCGTTTAACCCTTTACCTACCCAGAGCAAGAAATACAGTAAATTGTGTAGTACCTTACTTTTTTCACTGGGTTTGCACAGGTTAAACATAACATTTAAGTATATTATGGTGACAACTGACAAGTGAAAATAATTTATCAATTTGGCGCCGAAGGTATGAAAATATCCCCCAAAGTTTAAGAAGGATTATGAAAAAAATTCTGTGATGGAAAAAAAATGTTTATTCTCAAACAGAATGCGATGAAGTCTATTACTATGGCAGATGCAATAACCCTACCTTAACTACAAAAGCAGTTTCAATAGAATTATTCTACAAGACTGTCATTATCATGATCATCATCATCTTGTTTCCTATCTTGCCTCACATTCCCTTTTCGCTCTAATAATAAGCCTTAACCTCAAATGAAAATTGTAACTAAACAACCATCTTAGATTGTACCCAATATACTTTTAACAAATAGACGTAGATTACAAAAGATGAAAACTCCTCTAGTAATATTCAACACACTGAATGATTGTCTAATTATTTTACTTAAAACTTGGGACTATAATTCTTTTAATGAACTTCAAAATAGATTTAGGTGAAATAAAATTTGTTTTCTTTATTAATTTTCACTTGATAAAGTGATATCTTTGAACAGAAGAGGCAGCAATGAAGACCATGCCTGAATAGAAGAGTCAACATTACCTGTGACAACTTCAAAATAGATTTATGTGAAATAAAATTTGTTTTCTTTATTAGTTTTCACTTGATAAAGTGATATCTTTGAACAGAAGAGGCAGCAATGAAGACCATGCCTGAATAGAAGAGTCAACATAACCAGTGACAAATTCACCCTTTCAAGTGACAGCTAAGACAAAACCAGTTCAACTAATTGCCTTAATGAAAGGTCAACGCTAGATTATTAACGGAGCGATAGTCATCATCACCATCAAACATAAACAAACTTGTCATCATTAGAACATTCAACCACACCCTCAAGCTCCTTGTGCAGTGCTACGGTATGAGATTGTACACCATAATTAAAGCTCTAATACATGAGTGGGTAAGCTGCAGCAGTTCTTTCATTTTGTAACAATGATGTAAGGTTGTATGCCTCGCATTTCAGTATCTTATACAGAAGCTGAGTGCATATTGGACATTTGTTTTAAGTAGGTTCGGAGCTAAATGGGTCCTATTCTTCAGAAACAATTTACTCAAAGTCATATTCTTACACTAGTTGATTTCCTGACTTAGACCCTGGTCCAAACACTACCACTAACCCTAACCTAAACCCTAATCTAAAACCAAAACCAAATTATATCATATGATAAACCTAACCCTTACATCAACACTAACCTTAACCTTAACCTAAAACCAAATCATCTCATAGCCCTAACCCTAATACTATTACCCTAAACCTAACCTAAATCCAAAGTATATCAAATAACCCTAACCCTTACACCACACTAACCTAACCCTAACCTAAACCAAATCATATCCTAACTCTAACCCTAAACCTTAACCTATCACAACCCAACCACCACTCTTTGAAGAAATAAAGCCCAGGACAATTGTCACTGATGCAAATGTCTGACACACTACAATTTGTGTAAAACCAACAGGGAGAACAACCAATATCCCTAGGAAATAAAAGTCAATAAAAATCAATAACGAGTCTCTCATTGATTAATCAGTAGCAGATCTAGGCAAAATTGATTGTCTGGTTTAATCGATTCTGTAATAATTTTATGATTTCAGATGATGACAAGTTTTTCTTTTACAGTACCAAGTGTCTCAAAGCCGACATTTCAAGACAGAACTTTAACAAATGTTGCATTTTGATGAGAATGTCTTTACAATGGCTCTACGTGTTACTAGAAATATGAATCATGAATATGCAGACTCATGTAATATTTACAATGTAAACAAATATTCTGATGAGGAGAGTATGAAAAGGCATCATGATAGATACAGCATGGAGGTACGTCGCCGAGGCAACGGCAGCCTGAGACAGTGCCGTTTGCACACTGCATTAAACAATGTGTTCCCCACCACGAGACGGAAATTATTAGTGCAAATGTGGAGGCCCTCTTGTGGGTGTATTCTAAAAGATAAAGTTGAGTTCTGCTCGAACAAGTATGGTTGATTATGTAGAAGGTAGGAACTGGAGGGGTGTTTCACAAAACTTTTCATCAGTGACAAATGACAGTTAAATTGTTATAAGCTAGTGAAATCCTTGCTTCTGATTGGTTATCAGCAGATTTGTCACTGATTTGGCATTTCTCATTGAAAAAAGGGTTTGTGAAACGGTCCCTGATGTATACTCATCAAATTGATGAAAAATTGAAACTGCACACATAAATGTGTATATATGGGACTATAAAACTTCATGTGGAAAGAATGTTTGGTCCAAACTTTCCAGCTATTTCTCATATTTGGAAAAAATCAAAATGCAATTCCATCATCAAATTATAAGTTTAGATTCAAATACACTGAAGTCAAATAGGACAATTCACACTCTCTAAGTTGATAAAGAGACACATTCCACTTTTCAATCTAATTTCAGTTCAGAAGGATGAGCCTATGACTCACTTAAACCGATCATAAGGGCCTAGAGTATTTTCAAATAGGACAATTCACACTCTGTTATTCTGTATTAAAGTGGGTCAAGACATACAGTACTAAAATTCCATCTCTAATTCCATCTACATGCGATTTCAGTTCATAAGACACGGACCGACTTCTAAAGATTCTAGGATGGGAAGGGCTACTATTTTCTAATGGGACATTTCACACTTCATGTATGCTTAATGTGGGTCAAGGCATGCATTCCATTTCTAATTCCTTCTACAAGCAATTGCAGTTCATAGGACACGGACCGACTTCTAAAGAATCTAGGATGGGAAGGACTTGTGCTTTCAAATGGGACTTGTGCTTTCAAATGGGACATTTCACACTACATGTATGGATTCCATTTCTAATTCCATCTACCTGCCATTTCATTCCACAAGGCTAGGCCCGACTTCTAAAAATTTCAAGACGGGACATTTCACACTACATGTATGCTTAACGTGGGTCAAAGCATGCATTCCATTTATAATTCCATCTACTTGCCATTTCAGTCCACAAGACATGAACGGACTTCTTAAGATTTCAAGATGGGCAAAGAGTATAAAAACTCATCTCAACGATGATCAGTGTCACTTTTCATCACCTGCTGACTTTATTTTGGTTTAGTGTCCTCCTATAGCAGTTACGATTCCATCATCACACTATAATGGGATAACATCTTTATAAAAGGACCTGCTGGCAAGTGCTAATGGCCGGTCCATTCACATTTAAGGATAAATTTACAGATTTAAATCGCGATTCTTATCTTACTTTTTTGCATCGATTCACTCAATTATGACATTTATTTTATCTTGAGGGATATCATATCTTGTATCATGTGAAATTGTCTGCGTCACAAGAAGTCTACATGTACACAGACCTGTGGGATTACGCAGAGCAAAGGGCAGTGTAAAAATACCTTCTTTTTTGAAATCACCAGATCTTTGTTTTATATTTGCTGCTCAGTTCCGGTATATACAGTGTTTATTTGCTCTCATCCTTGTGATTATACTCCATTTTGTAATTTTTTGCCC